TTTCCAATAATTTTTTAAAAGTCAGGTCAAGGCTCCAAAGGCGATATAAGGGGGGCGGCTCACAGCAGTTTGTGTTTGCTGGATCATTTTAGTTCAGCTTTCCTTTTGTTATATTTCTTTAAGAGTTCAAAATGTGTTCATTACATAAATAAAATGTAATTTTCTCTGTAGCACTTCATGGGTTTCATAAGCAACACACCTTAGTTGTTCACACAAAGCATAAAGGTAAAAAACAATAACAGTGTTATCTTTTAAAAAGTATTTGCAGCTCCCAGAGTTTTCTTTTGCGTGGAAACCGGCTCCAAACGGCTCTTTGGTCTTAAAGGTTGTGACCCCTGAACTAGCTTAAAACTGGCTGCAGTGTCTTGGCTAGCTATTGTCAGGGCTAAGGATATGCTGCATACCTAGCTGTTCTTTAGCATGTTTAAGTTCCAGTTGAAGCTTTTGAATGCACATGACCTGAGCACTGAAGAAACACGTTTTCCTCATAATAAATATGTTCTTTGTATTAAACCTCCAGTATCGATATCACTTAGCCAGTCGGTTCCGGGTCGCTTTCCCTCAGCTTTCACTCTGGGTTCTTGGTCTGTGCAGATGTTTGCAAAGAACTGAAGTTGTGTTATCAGCATATGCAGTTGTTTCGGTCCTGGATGCTTTTCCACGTTTTTTATCTCCACGCTCTGGACTGCGTCACTGTTTTTCTCCGCTGACACCCGAAATGAAATCAGCTGATCAGAGTGAGAGCGCAAGAACTGATAAGTGGGAATTGGACTTCTGGGAACCAGTGTTGCCAACTCCTCAGTAAGGAAAATCGGTATTGGCTGTCCTAAAAGTCGCTAGAAGTCGCTAAATGACGTCATCACCTAATTTGCATAATTGGTCATGCTAATGTAATTGTAACCTACGTTGTTGGAGAGATAAATAACATCGTGGAAGAGACATAGAGTGAGTAATAAACTAAATGCAGTTAGAATTTATTTAGAACTACAAATTAAATTTCTTTTAGCAATTATTGTTTTTTAATGTCACAATTCCAACCCTGCTCCTTTACCCGGGCTTGGACCGGTGTCGTGCCAAACTAGGTATCCCTGACAGAATTTGTTTCCCCTGCATCGGGAGCACACGCTGGACTGTCCAAATCACGGACAAATAGTATCCCACATTGTTGATTTTTAGTTTACAAACACTTCTTATAATGACTAACT